TGGCGTTGAGGGCGCGCTGGTGCAGGATGCAGTCGACTGCGATGGCGGTCTTGCCGGTCTGGCGATCCCCGATGATCAGCTCACGCTGCCCGCGGCCGATGGGCACCAGGCTGTCCACCGCCTTGACACCTTGAGGGGGGTGGTCGTTGGGGCGGGTGTGGGAGGAGGGGGTGTTGGGCGGCAAGGGCGACTGCTTGACACACCAAAGCGACGCAGCAGAGCTTAGCGCCTCCCATGACAGCCTCGCCGCGCACCAACCCACCGACACTGGCAAGTCAGAGCCCAAACGAAACAAATAAACGAAACAAAACAAACAAACAAACAAACAAACAAACAAAACCCGCATTCTGCTGGACAGTCCAAATGCCCTGCTGCACATCACCCTTCTCTGCACTTGACCCCCGCGCTCACTTTTGATATCGGCCGCACCCAGATTCGCCCCACCCCCTGCGTCCGCCGGCGCTGCTCACCGGTGTAGAGGGGCTCGCGCACCGACTGGCGCGCCACGATGCCGGGCGCCTTGACCTCCACCAGGCTGCTCCTCACGTTGGTCAGCGGCCCCTTGCCATCAATGGGCTGGCCCAGGGCGTCGAGCACGCGGCCCAGGTTGCCGGGGCCGATGGGCACGTTGACGATCTGGCCGGTGCGGTACACCAGGTCGCCTGGATGTGCAAAGGAGCGTTGACCAGGGTTGACCCAGGGCGTGAAGAGAGCAGAAACTGCCCCCAGCCGAGCTGCCGGACAGAATCGCCTGCCGTGCTTCATTGCGTCTCGCGCAGCCCTCATGGACGTGCATCCCCCCTCCGAATCGCCCCTATGACCAGGACACACACACACACATACACACACACACACACACACACACATTCACCCACCCTGGTGGATGGCGTGGTCCTGGCCGAAGATCACCACTCCCACGTGGTCGTGCTGCAGGTTCAGGGCCATGCCCTTCACGCCGCTGTCAAAGCACACCAGCTCGCCGGCCTGGACGCTCCTGGAGGGGCGCAGGTGGCAGGGTGCATACGGCGTGCAGCAGGGCGGCGCGGGTCAAGACCCTGTCGCGCCACACGGCTGGAAGCTGCTTCGGGGAACCCCGCTATCCAGGCCGCTCCCCTCACGCTCAAACGCACCACCGCAGCAGCCCCAGCGCGGCAGCGCGGCGGCGGCCCCCGGCCCTCTGACCTGAGGCCGTAGACGCGGGCGATGCCGTCCCCCACCGACAGCACGCGGCCGAGGTGGATGACGGGCGGCTGGTAGGTCTTCTCCCACTCCTTGACCGCGGGGATCAGCTTGTTGCTGATGTGCTGGATCAGGTACTTGCTGCTGAACTGCTCGGTGGTTTGAAGGTGTGAGGATGCAAGACCAGGAGGGATGGGACTGGGGCAGCGGCGAGGGTCGAGCCGCATGCTGCGCCTGCGAAGCCCGCACGGTGTCACGCACGATCCTGCAGCGGTGGCCCCGCGAACGCCGCCGCCACCTGCACCTGCTTTGAACCTCGCGTCAGCAGCTACGTGTGCGTATTTCCATGTGTCTTGAAAGCCCTCACCTTGGGCTTGCGCATCTCATCAAGAGGCTTGGCCTCAGCGGCAAACCGCGCCAGCTGCTGCACCGCGCCGCGCCATGGGGCAGACCCCTGTGACGCCCCCACGCTGGCTGGCTGCGCGCCCACCGCTGCACAGAACCCAGTGCACATTCGGAAGCGGAATTTCCTTGTCAAGCAGCAGAAATGGAGGTCGAGAGAGCAGGCTAGAGCGAGATGTTCGAGATCGCAAGCAGGATCCCCACCGCACCCACAGCCCTTGCACAAGCAGCGCTTGGGCTCACCCGCACGCAGTAGCCTGGCAACAAGATGCCGCCTCATGATGAAAATCCAGGCTCCCTAGGCTCCACGCCGGGGCTGCCTGGCCAGCAATGCAGCGCAGATCAGACGGAGGGCCGCCTGATAAAGCTGTGCCGTCGCGCAACACAACCACCTCACAAGAGCCGTGCTATGTAGAACGGCACGGGGAAGAACCTGCCAGCGGCTGACGGAATCCCGAAGGTTTCCTTGCAGTTGCACCCCTGCTGTGCTGCTCTCATGCTGCAATGCTCAGTGGTGACCGCTTTCAGCCGCATGCCATCGTTTTGATGCTGGCACAGACAGGAGCGCGACGGCCTCATTTCTGTACTTATGAGCTGATGCAGGAGTGCGGCAGCGGGCCCCGCAGCGGGCATCAGAATTGTACTGCCCTGCTGTACAGCTGGTGCGCTGTTGCATGCATGGGCCAATAGAGGATGCTGCGGACGAACCAACATTACAATGCAAGCCGGGGACAGAAAGCTTTGCTGATGCATCAAGGGCAAGGAGGGTAAGCAACATGACGCGCGCAACCCCTCTGGACGGCAGGACTTCCCTGTTCAACACCACTACTATTAAAAGGCACAGCAACCCTGCACGCAGCCCTGGCCTGGCCCGGGGTTGCCAGCGCAGCCGGCTGGCGCCGTGAGCGAAGTGAGCTGACGGCGCCGTTGCGGCGCGCGTCACGGCCCCCGCTCCTCTGTCGGTGCCGTGTACCGCTCAAACACTGCGCGCTCCACCAGCCGGGGCCCCTGCAGAGTGCGGGGG